AGAAGAGTCACTTGGCTGATACTGGCTATGGAGGGACAGTCTTATGAGGAGAATTTGAGTGGATGGGGCCTGAACTCATTGGAATACAGAAGAATGAGAGGTGGCCTTATTGAAACATGCAAGATTCTTAGGGGACTTGACAGTTTAGATGTGAGAAGGATGTTTCCCCTTGTGGGAGACTCTAGCACCGGAGGGCACAACCTCAGAATAAGATGTCACACATTTAAGACAGAGATGAGGAAGAATTTCCTCTCTTAGAGGATAGTGAATCTCCAGAATTCTTTACTGCAGATGCCTGTTAAAGTTGGATCAGTAAGGATATTCAAGGTTGAGATAAATACATTTTTAATTAGTGCGGGAATCAAAGTTTATAGGGAAAAGGCAAGAAAGTGGAGTTGAGGATTATCAGATCTCTTTGAATGGTGGAGCAGTCTCGATGGCCTGAATGGCCTACTTCAGTCCCCATGTCTTATGGTCTTAAGGTTTGTTGGTCTTCCCCAAATGCATTCCCTCACAGTTCTCCTGATTGGATTCTATTTGGTGCTATTCTTTCCCTCTGTCCATTCCACTGTTACAGTCCTGTGGTCTACGGCTTTCTTTCTCACAAAAACTCCACAATTAATTTTCATATCAACTGCAAACTTCTTTATCATGTCCCTTGTATTTAGGTTTAATTCATTGGAATGCAGCAGGAAAAGTGAGGGATCCTGTGCTGAACCATGTGGCATCTGACTGGAAACAGTCTTCCTGTCAGAGAAACACCTGGTTACATACCTTTTGCTTCCAACCACAAAGCCAAATTGTAACACAGCTTTCCACAAGTGGAAGTGATGGCCTAGTGGTATTATCACTGGACTGTTAAATCAGTGACCTGGGTACAAATCCCACTGTGGCAGATGGTGGAATTTTAATTCAATAAAACTCTGGAATTCAGAATTTAATGATCAATTGTTGGGGGCAGAAGCATCTGGTTCACTAATGCCCTTTAGGGAAGGAGACTGCTGTCCTTATCTGGTCTGAACAACATGCAACTCCAGACCCACTTAGGGGTAGGTAATAAACACTCATCCAGCAAATTAATAAAAAAAAATTCCCTTGGATTTCATGAGCTTTTCAATCAGTCAGCCAAATGTTACTTCATCAAACATTGTGCTAAAATCCCTCTGTACTACATCAATCATGCTACTTTCTTCAACTTCTGTTAAGCTCCCTGAAAAAATGGTCAAACACAGACTTCCTTTAACAAATCTATGCTGGTTATTCTAGATTAATCTTTCTAAATTATGACTTATATTTCTCTTAGAAATTTTTCTGGGAATTTGTACGCATCAAGGCTTGACTGACTGACCAGTCATTCATAGAATCCTTATAGTGTGGAAGCAGGCCATTTGGCCCATCGCGTCCACGCCAACCGTCCAAAGAGCATTCCATCCAGACCCATCCACTGTAACCCTGCGTTTCTCATGGCCAATTCACCTAACCAGCACATCTTTGGACTGTGGAAAGAAACCGGAGGAAACCCAGGCAGACACGAGGAGAACGTGCAAACTCCACATAGACAGTTGGCCGAGGGTGGAATCGAATCCTGGTGCTGTGAGGCAACAGTGCTAACCATTGAGCCACTGTGCCACCCATGTTATTAAGAACTGGAAAGAGTTCAAAAGTTACTAGGTGTGTTGAGTGGAAGGCCAGTCTCACTGTTCTAGCACTTGTCTGAGATTTTCTTAAAAAGCAGTAAAAATAAGCCCTTCAACATTCACAAATCCCCCTCATTTCCTCACTCCTGTATTCCAACACACTCTCCATGCTCCATGTTACTATGTCAATTTAGAGCCAACTCACGCCCCCTGCTCATCACTCTTTACTGTTTCACCTAAAATATCAACTCATCCAGTTGCCATCCTGGTGAGATCTCAAGGCGTATGTCAAGATGAGGTAAATTTTTTTTAAATGTTGAAAAATCCACTGTTTCAAAAAATTCACTGAATTGAATTTCCAAAATGCCTTGTTAAAAACAAGTATTGGAATTAATTGTCTCATTTTAAAGAGTTTATAATCTGTTGTAGCAATCACACAAACTGTGAAATGGCAGACACCCTGCTGTGATAAATAAAGGAAATGGAAATTAGTCATGTGACACTAATGCAGTAATGGTAATTATTAAGTTTATGTCAACATAGGGAGGCTAAAAGAAAGCAATTTAAAAAAAAACTCTAGACAGTTTTCTCTTCAAATATTTTAAAGGTAGGAATTTTAAAAGCCTTCACACCTTCACAGTTCTTTCTGACAGTTAAATTTTAGGATTCCAACGAATTTATGTACTTTCATGTAATATTCATGTCCATTTTTAACATCTCCCAAAGGACACCAGACATATCCAAAGTTAACACAGCACCATATCAAAGGGGTATATTACCTTTCCAAAAGAGTACAAGCAACTTCACGAAGATGAGACCTGCTCATATCTGGTCTTAACCCCACTCTTTGTTTTTCCTACTCCAGGCCATTGAAGATCACAGATGTCTGGAGGCAGTTGTTGTTTAATAAGGGCATCTGCTCCCATGAACCACATTTGTACAATTTAGAAGCTGCCCCCACTCCCCCACAGAAATAGTGTGTACTGTGTTCAGGTAGGACCACCACATTCGGGCCTCCGGGGCCATTTTCAAAATGGCACAGCGCCTCTTATGTTTTTGTGAAAATTCAGCCTCTGCTTTCCTCTAGTTCTGTCTTCTTCAACACCTCCCCAGTCATTCTCCCACTCAGAGGCAAAACTGCAACTAATCCACTTGATGAAAAATTATATTGAATTTAGCTATGATTACATTGAATGGCACTGTTTGACATTTCAATTATTTGGCAAAGAAAAGATCCCTTTCTCATTTGATTAACTTACATGCACCCTTCTGATGCCAGCTACATCTTTAATTTTAGGATTTTATTCCCTCATTCTGGTCTCTCTGCTCCAGAGAAAATAATTTTTTTTAACCCTGATTAGCATATTCCTTAATCATTTTAAAAACATCAATTCAATCTTTTTTGAACCTTCCGAAAACAAGGGAGCAGTATTCATATGGTATGAATCTTGGATTTGCAACCCTTCTTTATATCTTAACCCTTTAAATCCTGCTATCAGTCTGGGCAATTATTTCCTGACCCTCTCTAAGAACAAAAATTCCTTCCTGAGGTGGATGTTCAAAAAGAGGTTACTGACTAAAGCTCTGTGCAACAGAAACATTGCTTAGTGCTTGCTTTTAAAAGGATAAAAGAAAGTAATGTAAATTGTATTTGCAAATTTAAAAAAAATTAGGTATTCTAGTATGCTTTTGAAAAATCCACATTCAACTCCTTCAAATGGATTTACTATCTTCAAACGCTAAAATGCATTAAAATTAGGATCACTTTGTTTATATTGCCATTGTGGGAAATCTCTCCTGGTAATGGGAGTAGACACATCAAAGAAACATAGAGAACCCCTTGAAAATGCTAAGCTGGAGTTCCTCCAACCACTGTGGACTGATTACTGATAAATAGCTGCTGTTTTGTTTAGCTTGCGAAAGCATCTTGCTTTGTGTGGAATTATAGTTATTATTCATTTGGACACATTAATGGTTAGTTTGGTTACCAGCTGACATGGATGGGCTCACTAAACACGAACACAGCGACTTTAAGAAAAGCCAGTTCTGACGTAGATCACAGGCTGAACTAAACACAGTATTTAACGAAACAAGATGAGAACCATAATGATATACTCCTGAAAAGCCTCCCACTAATTCTTCACTTTCACATGACACGGACACACTCCTGGGACATCCCTATAAAGACTAAATAGATCAGCCACCACACTTTATTGCATCTGGCTGGTGCAGAGGCAGACTTCAGTCAAAATGCAGCTATTATGTTATCTGCTAACAGTCAATGGCTGAGGATGTAAAGTATTTTCAGGGAGAGAAGGGAAATGGATGTCGTGTAAATGGGTATGCTTTTTGAACAGTAGGATGGCCCAATCTTCCAACGCATTTTAGCTGAATAGTTTACAAGATTTGGGAAGTAACTTATTCAAATATATATAGTTCCTGTAAATGTTGTCAGTTTGGGTGACTGTATTAATGTATCTAAACCATCAACTAGACTTACACACTCCATAACATGACAAACGTTTGAAGAGAAAGCAGTTAAACCATGCCATAAATCTGCATTTGGAAAAAAAAAAGCAGGTAAATATTCCATTCTCTCTCTCACACACACACACGCACACGCACACGCACACACATGCAAACAGACACACACGTATGCATACACACACATATGCACACACACATGCACACAGAGACGCACACACAGGCAGACAGACACGCAATATAACACAAAACACACACAATCACACACAAAACACACACAGTCACACACAAAACACACACAAGCACATTTGGATTCACAGATGCATAAACAAACGTTGGTTCAGGAACATGGTGAGGCCATTTAGCCTCTTCAGTCCTGTCCATTCAATACTAAGAGCAGCTGTAAGCTGATTAAGAGTCTGACAGGCCATGGCATGGACCTTCCTTCAGTTAGCTGGAACTTTGTTTATATCAGCCCATACAGCAGGGTTTCTCCTATGCAGTGGAGGCACCAGATATGAGTATTCCTCTGGATGTTAATTAAGAACTGACACAATGGTTTCCAATTGCTGTGACCACCTGGAGCTACCACCAATTTAAGGCTCATTCGATTGATGGATATACCATGTAAGCCATACTGACTCTGCTTTCTTCTTCTGCTTGGTCAGTCTCTGATCAAAGCCAATGCGTGACAAAACCTGGTGAACACAGAAGTTAAAAACCCCCATCATTAAGCTTAAGTCCATTTATTCATCAATTTGCAAATATCTCCGGTTAGAAATTATGCCTGTGTTACTAATATAAAACTGATCTCCCCCAGCAAAGCAAATTAATTTTGCACCAGAATGGAGCTTGCCCAATGTAGCCAGGTATTGATCCATGTGGTACTACTGGCTGTCCCAGGTGAATGCCCTCATGGGTGTTGTGAAGCTTGCCAGTACCTCACTGGTAATGAATGCTCACAGCTCTTTAGCAATGTCCAACTGATGCAGATTGATAGGTGATTCTTTCTTCATGTGACCTTTCCTCAGCAAAAAGCCACCGGAAAGACTCTTTTCGATTGTGTCTGCCAACGCTTGAACCTTGTTGAGGAAGATTACTTTGGAATGGAGTTCAATGATCGTTATGGGAATGTGGTGAGCAATGTGTTTGTGTTTGCAAACTCTGCAGCACTTGTTAATTCAGAGGCACAGGTATAATATACTGAATGGCTCCTTATGTGCTGTAAAATTCTATGATTGGAGAGGTATGCAATGGAAAATCACAGAAAAATAACCGTTCTATTTTTCTGTGATTTTCCATTGCATACCTCTCCAATCATAGAATTTTACAGCACATAAGGAGGCCATATTCATGCATGCTCTCTGCACGATCAATTCACTTAGTGTCACACAAACATCATTTTCCTGTAGCATTGAAGATAATGATTCAATCCTCTTTCGAATGATACTATGATAGAAGCTGTCTCCATCACACTCTCGGGCAGTCCATTCTTGAAACTAACAATGCTCTGCACGGAATTAGTTCTTGCTATGTCTTTGTTGTTTCTTTTTTCCAATGACCTTAAATATGAGCCCTCCAGTTCTTGATCCTTCTGCCAATGGGAACAATTTCTCCCTATGTGCTCTGTCTAGTCCCCTCACCTCCTCTCAACCTTCTCTTCTTTGAGGAGAAGAGTCCCAACTTCTCTAATCTACCCACATGACTTAAGTTGCTCATTCCTGGAAATATTCTTGTGAATCTTTTCCCAATATCTTCACACCCTTCTTAAAGGTGGTGCTCACAACTGGATGCTGAACTGAGGGTAATCCAGTGTTTTGTAGGGGTAGATCATCACTTACTTACTTTGATAGGCTACGCCTCTATTGATAAAGCACTGTATTCTATATGATTTATTGACTGTGCTGTCAACCTGTAGCCTTCAGCGATTTATGCACATATACACCAAGATCCGCTACGCTTGCAACTCCTTTTGAAGGATGCTTTCTTTTCTACTGTCTCTCCGTGTTCTTCCTACTAAAATGAATCAGCCAGAGTATTAAATTTTATCTTCCACTTATTCACCCATTCCATCAACCTTCTATGTCCTTTTGAAGTCTACTTTGTCCTCTTTGTGGTTCACAATGCTTTCAGATTTCGTATCATCTAAAAGTTTTGTAATTGTGATCTGTACACAAAGACCAACATCAACATATATCATAAACAGCAAGGGTCCCAACACCAACTCCTGTGACATTCCAATATAACTCTTCCCCCAGTTTGCAAACAATTGTTCACCACCACTCTCTCTTTCGTATCACTCGGCCAGTTGTGTATCCGTGTTGATACTGTCCCTTTTATTCCATTACCTCTAAGCTTCCTCACAAAACAATTCAATGTTTTAAACAGCTATTTCTTTTTTTTTGTTTTGTTTGGTGATGTGAAAGTAATAAATAATTCATGATTACTTTGCCTAAATATCGCTTTTCAATGAAAAGGGCCCTTGAAATATTTAAAGATGTAAGAAATGTTTTAGCGTACCAGTCTATTGCATGTATTAGGCAAGTGGTGAAATCTTCCAAATACTTTGAACTAATCTGACAAATCTGTTACATATGTGTCGATCATACGATGGACAGCAAGATCCCACAAACAGTTGAAGTTGAATGTCCAATATATTTGTCTTTGGTAGCGTTGGTCCTCTCTGTGCCCATGTGAATCATGCCCAAATACATCACTGGTTCCAGCTATATTCTATATTACGCCCCTACCCCACCATAGGAGGCTACTTTTCGTGAGTATGGAGAGAAATCCTTTGTGCTGACTTAACAGTTGAGTCAGGTCATGTCCTAACTCAAATCCAACATTGTCTATTTATTATAACAAGGTGTAGAGCTGGATGAACACAGCAGGCCAGGCAGCATCAGA